GAAAATCTTTTAAATCTATTAGACATATCCATTTAAATAAATATAAATAGTTTTACTATTATTTTATATTTTAAATTAAAATATAAAAATAAAGTTTTATTATTTCGAACAAATTATAAAAATAAGCTGAATTTTTTTATTTTATGAACAATTTCATAGCTTATTTTTATAAGCTATTTCAAATAAATAATATTATAAAATTTATATTGCTAGATAAACTCGATTCAGTAAATACAAGTAAATAATTAATGTTATTGATCTTTTAATTTGTTAATATATATTTAAATATTAAGCTTTTAAGTAGGTTAATAAATTAACTAGACTTTCAAAAAGAACAAACTTAAATTTAAAATAAATTTATGAAAGACTATAAATTAATCTTTAAGTTTTGAATTTCTAAAAGATCAAATAAAGATTTGACAAATCTAGTTCCACTTAGTCTATTTCAATCTTAAGGTGATATAAGTAGTATTTTTTTTTATTTTTAAATATATATTATTTATAGCTATTGATAAAACGAACTACTACAATAATTTAATAAGATACTCTCCGTGTTGATAAATATTATAAGTTTAGTCTAAATAAATTATAAAATTAAGAAAATTAATTATAACATTAAAGTTGTTGAAAACTTGATATTATTATATAACTTTTCTAAAGTAGAAAATTGAACGATATCTTCATAAAAATATTTATTACAAATTACATAAAAAAATAATTTTATTATGTTAATAAATAAATAATAATATAATTGAAAATCAAAGTAAATCTTATAAAAATGTACCATTAAAAACCATGATCTAATAATTAAAAACATTCATACTATAAATAGGATTGTAAAACCTGGTTTCAAAGGCTTTTATTTATTTATTTATAAATTACAGCAACAAAGGTTAAGTGGTTGGGTACAATAGAAAATATTATTTTATTTTATTTTATTAATTAAAACTAAATTAAGCTCCATTTTTTTAATTTAATAAAAATAATATTTTATGAAAAATATACTACTATAATTTTCTATTTAAAGAATAGAAAACTAATTTCTTTTATGAAAGTTTATCTTTCAGAAGAAACCATTTTATTAATTCCGATAATATTTTCAAATTTAGATTTTTTTTTTTTAAATAAAATTTATCTAGTTAAAAATGCTAGGTCATATGACATATAGAAAACCTATTAAAATAAAAATAAATAATTTAATTATTATTTAATATTTTGATTTAAATATAAAAATAAAATTTAATTATCTAAATTTTTTTATAAAATTAAGTTGAAAATATCATAAATTATTTCAAATAAATACTATTACAAAAATTTATATTGTTAGATAAATTCGAATTAGCCAATGCTAACAAACAATTAAGTTCATTGATTTTTTTAATTTGTTATTATATTTAAATATTAATTGAATTATTTATTTATAAATGTTTAAATGAAATCAATTTTTAAGTATGTTAATAAATGAATCTGACTTTTATATCAAAAATTAAAAAAAATCTGATATATTTGAATCAATAATTTTGAAATTTTTGGGTAATACATTTATCTTTTGTATTGGAAAATTCGAAATATCCGGAACTTAACAGTATGTACATGTAATTTTGAAGTTTCTGGTAGTTCAATATTTTTTTTTTTAAATACAAAAAATTTAGAAAATTTCGGTAGTAATATTTTCCTAATTTTTTTTTCAATGTTTAAGTGATGACCATGGGCAAAGATGATTTTGTTGCAGATAGGGTGATCGATAGAGCGGAAGCTTAGGCCCGGGCTGACGAGGCACAAGCTTCCAAGCTACGGGCTGGGCGACGTGCTATGACTAGTTTTCATCGAAAATAGTTGGCTAAGCAGCAAACACAGTTCCGTGCACCCCGCCGTCAAAGACTTAGAGATTCTACTGCCGAGGAGGTACATGCTCCTGCTCCTGTGAATGTGCCTGTGATTCAGCCGACTGTCGAGTAGCATATTGAGGAGTTTGTGCCTGTTGTGGAGCCAGCACCTGAGCCGGCAGCCGAGCAGGTTGTGGAGCCGACAATTGAGGAGATTCTAGAGTAGGTAGATGAGGCTGTTACTAAGCGCGTTGACGAGGTGTCTCCCACTGATACAGACACTACAAGTTGTGCGTCTACGGAACCATCATTTCACACTAATGGAGCCTTTCTAGGAAGACCTCTAGACATGTCTGTGCTGACAGGATTTACTGACCATGTCACTTACAGGACATGGCATGGCGAGGTATATATTTTATTTTCTTTAATTGCATAATTTTTCAAGTGTTTGAAAGTTTATGTATTTTATTTTTGCTTCTTACAAGAGCGTCCGGTGCTGAAGGTCATGGTTCAAAGTTGAAGAACTGTCTAGAGAGTCCCGTGCTCGAGGAGGTCAATAGTATTGTTAGAGATTTCCAGCTGCTGGATTCTCCAAGTTCTCCTTGACCATGTTGGACGCCTCTCTGTTGTCTGCTTTTGTTGAGCGGTGGCACCCAGAGACATCATCCTTTCATCTTCCATTTGAGGAGATGACAATCACATTAGATGATATCGACACCCTGTTTCACATTTCCGTCACTGGTACATTTTTCACACCTCCTCATATTAACCATGTGACGACAATACACATGCTTATGGATGATTTTGAGGTATATGAGGCATATGTGCTAGAGGAGTTTGGCTTTAATCGGGGATTTCACCTTCAAATGTCTTAGTTGAGGAAATTATACGTGCAACTCGCAGAGGACCATAGGTACCCGACTTCCGCTAGGGCATACATGCTACAACTGATGACATGTACTCTTTGCAGACAAGTATGGAGTTTACATTAATGTTTGCTGCCTGTCTCTGCTCAGCACACTTGACACTTTATGTTTGGCTTGGAGAGTGGTGGCGTTGACCATGATGTACACGACACTTGGCGTTGCTTCTCAGCCTGAGACCAAGCAGTTTGCTGGTTACCTTAGCCATTTTCAGGTATACTATAATTTATTTGATGATTTTTATTAGTTATTTGGATGTATTTATATGATGCTTTTTATTTATGCAATGTTGGATATACAAGCACTTCCCTCACATTTATGAGCGAAAGATCCAGTGTGTCACGCTACTGTTCCATGTGCAAGAGATAAAAGGGTAAGCAAGCCCATTCGTGAGGTGTGATGAAGTACAAGAAGAGGCTTGAAGCACTGACCGTATAGGATGTCGTCTGGACACCATATACATCTCATCGGCCTCATCGCGCATTTGAGGAGTCTACTTTATATTCATGGCATATTAGATGGGAGAACAATATGGCTAGACACTTGATTGTGAGGTGGCAACGCCAATATGATTATGTACAAGGAATCCCTCGTCCAGTTCTAGAGACTCCAGCCGGTGGCATTGATAGATGGTTTCAGAGTCACATCATCAGCTCTCCTCGTGAGATCATGGATACAACAGTTATGGTCCATCATCCGTCATAGTGCTAGGATGGACACCTGGAGTGGCATCACAGTGTGCCACACCCTTGGGTCATACCATCCGCTGCAACATCTGATGTTATGGGGCCTTCACGTGCTATGGGTAATGCCGAGCCGCCATCACCACCTCCACCACCTGCATGTGATAAGGACAACCGCCTACAATTTATTGTAGTTCATTTAGATAACCCCATGGGTTTGGTAAATCCTGATGGTGAGACTTATACATGTTTAACTAGGTTAATCGACGTAACCCGTGGATGACCTATATAGATCTGTTTTATTTTGGTTGTGTTATATGTATATTTTGAGACACACAACTTCTTATTTATTGCATAATATTTTGGCGATTACATGTTTTGAATTGATGATGAACATAACATAAAACAATACAACAAACATAGATAAAAAATAACTAAACATGAAAACCTAGGCACTACTAGATCATTCTGGATGTTTCAACATCTTCATTATATCGTCGACGATCTTCGGATCTCCGCATCCAACTCGACCGGACCTTTAGTTATCCTACGACAAAATAATTTCCACATAGCCTTCACATCTTCATCGGTCTTCAACTCAACCAGGTTGTATTTCACCATTTCATTTGTATTAATCCAGTCTTTTCGAAACTCAATCTTTATCACCCTTCTGTTATCGGAATTAGGTAGCAGTTTATTCAACTTGTCTTTCATGTTGTCGAAGGATGTGGTGCCATCTGGAAGCTTGAATTCAAAAACATAGTTGTTTCCCTTTAAATATATTTCAGCCTTAATCAGAAATTGAGGAAAAGACACTATTTGAGATATTTTTCTCAATAATATTTGCCCCTATTTATACAAACGACAATACATTCTAGACCACACAAACTTGTTGGTGCAATCAGAACCCTCAACAGATGTTGGCAAAATCTCGATCGTTTAAAAAAAATCAAATAAATGAACTACCAGAAATTTCAGTATATCTCAAATTTCTAGTACTGCCTGATAAATTTGAAAATTTCGAAATACTGAAAATTTCAAATACATTACCAGAAATTTACATGTTTCAGAAATTTTGTCGGAGTGTACTAGAATCTCGTTTGTACCAGAAAATTTAACTCTATCGAAAATTTCATCCAAAAAATTTATTTGTATATCAACAAGAGTAATTTTAAAATAAAAAAAATTAGGGATAACATGTATAATTTGAAGGATGAGATGTTAAATTCTCTAAACAAATCTAATAACTTAGAAATGGGCCGTATCAAGAAGTCCCACCAGGCCCAAAGTTGAATCGCGGTAACCAACGGGTCTTTTTGGCGGGAAGCAACGTAACATCACTCCAGACGAGAAACCCGCACAATTTTCCCGCGAAAAAACCCTAATAAATTAAATCCACACCCTTTTTTCCAACATTCATCGAATCTTCAGTTCTTCACTATTTCTTACAATTTCACACAGTTTTCACTCAATCTCATTCCTAGATCTGAGATCTGAAAGATTTATCGAATCGTTACTCTATCTCACACAATTTCGCACTATTTTCTCTCATTCTCAGATCTTAAAGAATGAGAAATTCTTCAGAAACACCTTCTCCATCCTCATACAAAGCCAGATCCAAAAAGCCCCTACTTCGAAGCTCCAAAGCTCTATTCAAAGATCCCATCGATGAACTAAGCACCAAGACTCCAGAGAAACTCCCTCAGCGCACTCGCAACCGCGGCGTTGCGCTTTCTTTATCGGATATTAGAAAAGTCACTAAGGGTCTTCATGATCAGAAACAGCCCCATGAAACGATGCCGTCTAAGGGGAGAACCGCTAGAAGGCTAATCTCACCGGCTTCCCCGCGAAAGAGCAGTAAATCAGCTGATGGTTTATTCAAGCTTCCTGAAAAGTACGCATTTTGAATTCTGCATCTAGGGTTATTTTGGGGATAATTTGTGTTGTTTAAATGGTTTTAATTTGGGTTTTGTTTGCAGATATGAAAATTTGGGCGAGTTTTTTGATAGCTTGGATAGTTCGATTCGGTTGTTGCGATTGAAAGGGGCGATGACTTCGTTCACTAATATCAGGCCAAAGATTGAAACTTTAACTGATCGGTATAGTTTATGATTAGATTTAATTTAATTTTTTAAATTAATATTTTGCGTTATGTTTTCTGAATTTTTTGGTTTTTTATAATTTGTTTAGGAGGTTTACATATGGTCATTTGGCGCAGTTGAAGTTTATCTTACCTGAGGCAATTGCTATTAAGAAGTTATTGGTATTTGATGAAAGAACTAGTTGTATGAAGCCGGATCTTCATGTTGCTATAAACCCTGATGCAGTAGAGTTTGATGCTAAGCTGTTATCTGAATCTGGGACTATGTCTCTGAGGAAGTTATTTCGTGTACGGCTCAAAGATTTTTGGGAATCTCATCCAAAGGTATAATACTGTACACTTGCTTATCTGTTTGATATATTGATTATGAATGCTTGTTGAAATTTCACTTGTGGCTTGATTTTCCCTTTATTTTTTAATCTGCCTAGTACAACTTTGTGGTATCAATGAGTTTAGTTTTGTATATTGTTTGGTTGTTCCATTTATTGTGTGAAGACTTGGTTGGGTTTAAATAACAGTATGGTTTTAAATAACTGTTGCGGGTTGTGGTTGCTTAAAGGTTTTTTGTGATTTTGGTAGATAAAGTTTTGCAATACTGATTGTAGTTGCCATGGTGTGAATTAATCACATTTTATTCTTTAACTTACAAATAGTGAATAACGGTTGCAACACTGATTGCTGTCAAAATATTTAATAGTGGTATCAATACTGCTAGTTCTTAGTTAACGCCAAAGTCTGGGATGCAATGTTTGAAAGTGCTGGAAGCAACTTTAAGTCTTGGGAATCCCAAACCTTTTAATCAATCCTGTTTTCTTTTATTGATGATCCATTGCTAATGTAAACACGTTGTTAATTGTTTTATATTTGCATATTAATTAGTTTCAATGATGCTTTTATGTGTAGGGTGATGAAATTCCAGAGGAAATACTGCCTGAGCCATTCAGTCGCCCAAAGCAAGATCCTCCTTTACACATCTTCAAAACTCCATTAACATTCTCTGCAGTGAAATTGTCAACTAGTGACAATGCAGTTAATACAGACCCTGATGTCTCATTGCCAAATGATACATCATTTGAAACTCTTAACCAGCAGCCAGCACTTGCCTCTCATATGCCTCAATCTTTCAGAAGACGGTTTTCTCAGAGAGTGAAGGAAAGTGTACACCCAAAGTTACCATCAGATTCCTTCCAACCTTCGGCTGTCACATCTACAGAGTCAAGCTTGAAGATAAATTCCGCATCCGGTGTCTCTTTATCCCATCAGAAGACATCCCCATCTGAGCTTATTTCAGAAGCACCCAGCAGTGAAGCTTGTCCTACACCATCCATTGCTATCCCAGCTACACCTAGTAAAACCATCGAGGGTACAGATAGTAAAACCATTGAGGGTACGGATGGCAAAGGTGAATCTGTCAAAAGTGTTGAAGCTATGTCAACCCCATTAAGATGTCTGTCAACTCCAATCAGGCTGATGTCAGCCACTCCTGCGTTGAAGCCACCTAAAAGGTGTTTAATGACCCCGGAAAACAACTCTACAAGCTCACCAGACAAGTTGGTTAAGCGCCCACCTCGATCAAGGTCATTGAAATTTGACACTCCAGTGAAAAATGAAAATGATGCTAGCAGTTTGTCAACTGTTGATGACATTTTTGATATCCTACCAGATACTCTTCTCCATTCGGTATGTACTTTTATTTATTTATTTTGATTCCTATTATTTAAAAATATTCCTAAATAAGTAGATTAATTTTTAAACTGAACATCTTACTTTCAACAGATGAAAGATCAAGAGTTTCCCAGTAGGAGCTTTCATTATTACTATTTATGTAATTTGTATAAAAAATCATTTCTTTAAACAAATAAATCATTTCTTTTTATATACAAATAGGCAGTACTTATCAAATTCACATTGGCTGGTTCATTGTTTTAGAATTGAGTATTTTGTTTTTGTCATTATTATTAATAATATTATTGATGATGTTATTCTTGAGTGAATTCAAACTTAACATTCCATCTACAGATTAGGGAAAAAGAAATAATGGCAATAGAGGAACGGGATCCAGCTATTTCACAAGCTAAGAAGCGCAAGAAAATTATTGCCAGTCTTCCCAAGCTCTTCAACATGATTCACATGATGTTTCAATCGAGAAACCGGTCTGTAATCACAAAAGATGAGCTGATAAACACGTTAATCTCAAGCCACTCTGATATTGTTGATAGAAGTAAGACACTTTCTACGAAGATTAATTGACTGGCTATTTTATAATTTTCTGCATACTAAACCTCTCCTGTTTGTTGTCTTAGGAGAAGTTGAAGAACAGTTCCATCTGTTGTTAGAATTAGTTCCTGAATGGATTTCTGAGAGGTTGGCTTCTAGTGGAACTATGCTGCTAGTCTCGTAAGTTTCTTTTAAAAAAAATATAGTCCAGTGTTTTGAATTTACAATTTTAGCAATATACCCTCTTTTTCCATTGTTTTGATACTATTATTATGTGTGTTTAATAGTGTGAATAAAATGTTGAGCCCTGAATCAATAAGAGCATCACTTGAAGAAGCAAAATGATCATGGAGACACAATGGAGCCTAGAAGTATTTTGTTGACATTGGAGCTAGAAGTATACTGTTCTTTTCTTTTGGGCTGCTTGTACATGTTCAGTCTATTTTCATTTGACATTCCTTGTAGTTGGTTTGATCTTCATTCCTATTGATACATTAGCAGCAGAGGTATATTTGTTAGATCAACTCATCTTTTTTTGGACAAGTGGTGTACTCACAATACAACTAGATGGGAATGTTTCTTGTTGTAGAAGAGTTCATGGCCACTGACTTTGGCTGTTTGATCATCATCTTTTCATCCATTTAATATATTTAATAAATAATTCATAATTCAAAGATTCTTTTCACAGTTTTAGAATGGGGAATTTATATAGTAAAATTTGCCAAAGGCTACTTTTGCAATAATAATTTGAATTTTTTTAATCAAAATTCAGTTGCAACCTGTGATTACAGTTTGTTGCCATGGACTTTGTCTAGGCCATATTCTCTCTTTAAGCACATCAAATATTGAAAAAACTTATGTTATCACTAATTGATTGTGTTCTCCCTGAAATTGCTTTTGAAATCAAGAAGCCGACTATTAGTCCTTTTATCTAAATCTATATAGTTCAGAGTGAGAATAAGAAGATGCTTTCTTACATATTCCTACAGTTTTCCATAACATAGTTAGATTGATTTAGTTTATTCCTAAAAATAATAGGTGCATCTTTCAACATTGTTAATTGGAGTTACATGCTTTATTCATTTATGCTTCCTATGCTATTGAAGTCCATATCTGTTGTGTCTTGTAATCTTGATCACTTTCTTTTCCCCATGAAAAAGCAAGTATAGCCCATGATAAGAATGAGTGCTCCCAATATAGTGAAATAACCATACATATAAAACCTTCGAAACACGGACATAAAAGACTAGAATATGTTTGAAGAGTGAAGTCTATTTACCTGCCAATGTCAAGTTGTTGCCCCAAAACAGAATATGCTAGCATAACTTCATTGCAATCTTCAACACTTGACGGATACATAATTCACGAATGTTGAGATTGCAATGAATATAATTTAAATGTTACAAAATTATAGTTGAATCTAACTTAATCTTACAAAACCGACTTGTTACTAATTGTAACTCATAAAATCCAACACAATGTAGGTGTTGAAGCCTACAATGAATGCAACTCAAATGCCACAATAGGTGACTAGATGCAGACCCCCAAGGAAAGAGGAATTTTCAGCATGAAGGAAGTATCATGACCATATTTATGGCAAACTTGGTATTGAATTGGAACTTGCAACCACCACGTCCTCTCTCTGCTACCATAACCACCACGATGAGACTTGCCACCTCTTTTACCATTGAACTAGGTTTTTTGGACTCTGTCATCAGAGTAAGATGAGGTTGACTTTGTATTGTGATTAAGAGGAGTTTTAGTGGAGGATGCAAGATTTATTAAAGGCTAATCTAGTTTTTTAAACCTTTCCATTCGTGTTTCATGTTCGAAAAGTAGGCATCGATGGAATTCTTGGGATGATTGAACACTTGGAGTAGGGACTTGGAAGTAGTTAATGATATTAAGTTGACAAATGAACACAAATGTGAACTAAAGTGTTTGTTGGTGAATTTGAAAAGGTTCATTAAAATCCTACATAGGAGGGCAAATCACACTTTAGTAGTTTTAAGTGGGCAAATTGGATTGTATCCTAAGGGGTACCCAATTTTGTGGTTGAGTGAGAACACATCATCATGGAACATTACATACGCGCGCTTGTCGTTTGGCCGACTCGACTCGGTATGGTCTTGGGTCTGAGCTTGAGTTTTGATCCAATATCTTTTGGTACCCGAAATAAAGATCTCAATGAAATATATCTACTTTGACTGTAAATCTGCTTGCACACCATATCACCCAAGTGTAAAATTGTTTAAGAACACTGGTGATAGTGTCAAACAATCAGAATATGCGAGCATCATTGGTAGTCTCAGGTATGCCACTGATTATACTAGACCTGACATTGTGTATGTCATTAGATTATTGTGCAGGTTTACTAGTAGGCCGAGGAATGAGCATTGGTAAGCTATTCCAATATGCATTACTGTATCATTCAAGTACAACAAAAAATATCTGATAATATAAACTGAGATTCATGGTCCTTTTAAGGTACCACATGACACACTATATTTAGTATAGCTGGAGGAGCTATATCTTGGAAATATAAGAAACAAACTATCTTGACTTAGTCCACAATAGAGTCTGAGATGATAGCATTAACGTCTTCTAGTGAAGAAGTAAGTTGGTTAAGATGTTTGCTAGCTGAGATCCCTTTATGAGAAAAACATATGTCAACTATGTTGATCCACTGCAATAGTACCACGACTATTGCAAAAATTGAGAACCATTATTATAATGGTAAAAGACGTCAAATAATAAGAAATCACAACACTGTTAGAGATTGTATCTCTAAAGGAGCTGTAAGAGTGAATCATGTACAAACTGATAAAAATTTAGAAGATCATTTGACGAAAGGATTAGGTAGAGAGAAAGTCCAAAATACATAAAAAATAATGTGACTAATGCCTATAGAGAAATGAGTTTCTCATGATGGCAACCCTACCTAAATGACTGGAGATCCCAAGAAATAGATTCAATGGGTAATGTAACACCCTTTTAATCCCACATGTACTTCTCATATAATATACAAAATAATTCAAGTAAAATTACCACTCAAGGATATCACACATCATAGAAAACAACATAATAACGAACCTGCTCCGTAACACAGGTTACATTAATAGTAATAACATCTTATCATAGTTCGACAAATCATTTAAGTCATGCAACAGATTCATCGTCATAAATAAACTTCTTCATAAAACAAAACTTATAGTATTTTCGCCTCATCAAAGGTTGTAATTGAAGACCACTTTAACAATAAAATAGCCTTCATAAAGTATGTCAACAAAAGGAACATAACATCAAATTCAAGTGTTTCCAACCCAATGTTACATATCAGAGCAAAACACATTTTAATTAATGGAAACTAATAAAATACTCCAAATCTATCTTCAATGCTCCTACAAGCTACTCTTGAGGATCTGCGCGTTATCCACGTAGAGACAACATTCAAACAAAAAGGGTGAGTAATCATAATTTACTATAAAATATATAAGAAAAAGATTAGTAGTTATAAATAACATTATCACACGACAACACACCGCATTCATCAGTATTCCACACTCACTGATACATCATAATCACACTTAGACATCTTTCATCATATAATCACATAGTTCATAATTAGCATCACATCACAACTCCTCAACAATGTTCATGCAATGACACATAGGACGTTAATACAATAACACTGACACAATGCACGTGGTACCAAATTTATAAACACCTGGTTCATCACCCTCCATGATCCCCACTATAGGATCGTTTCCCTCTTAGAACCTGAGCATATCATAAACGCACTCGATCCGCACAATAGGATTGAGGTTCGTCACAGGCGGACCACCGTCCAAAAATGTTATGAATGTATGATGCACAATAACGTCATATAAAAGTTAACCACGACTAGTCAATTGCATCATCATTCACATAATCATCATCACATGGAACGTATACACACTAACATGCACATCATTAAAACATCATCACATATAACAACAATTACATCACAACAACAACATCATAGCAACTTCACAACGTCATCATACTCATCACTAAAATAAAGCATATTAACATCTCAAACATATAATATTGCAATCTCATAAACCCATAGGTACTATAATCATGCATCAAACAACTCATATAATTCTGTCATAATATAGTTCTACATGTTAGCTTTCCAAAGTTTCGAACAACGCATCAAATAGAGTTTGGAAAATCAAGTTACGACACTTTGAAGTTACTGCTAGGCCTGCTCTCCTAAGCCTCGCTCGACGATCCTGAGGTGCTCTGCTCGCCACCTCCTCGCCTGATGCTCGCCCGACAAATGGCGCGATTGGGTTCATAACTGCCTCGCTCGCCAGACGATGCTGGGGCGACGTTCCCCTCCCATACATTTTCTAGGAGCTCACCTTTTCCACCATCCTGCTCGCCGGATGGCTCGCCTGACGATGTTAGGGCGACTGGCTCGCGCCTTGCTCGTCGCTGGATTGCTCGGAAATGCATGCGATTCAACAACTTCTCAGTTGCGATTTCTGCACTATCCATCCCCATTCCAATTCTGATCTCAATACCAAACTCAGTCTAAAACACATAGTAATCATCATATTATCACAACTCAACAACAATACCTCATCATACACATATCTCATTTGAATCGTGGCATATTAATGTCATCAACACATAAATTCATCATAGGAGTCATCATAATTTTTTATCAAAATCATCATACAAACAAGACCTACATCTACCTTAACCCCCTATCAATCATAATGAACCGAGATTACACCCCTTACCTTGAATTCCTAGAGACTTGATCTCTTTGAACTCTAAGGAATGAATCTCTTCTTCTTCTTCTTCTTCTTCTTCTTCTTCTTCTTCTTCTTCTTCTTCTTCTCCTTCTCCTTCTCCTTCTCCTTCTCCTTCTCCTTCTCCTTCTCCTTCTCCTCCTTCTTCTTCTTCTTCTTCTTCTTCTTCTTCTTCTTCTTCTTCTTCTTCTTCTTCTTCTTCTTCTTCTTCTTCTTCTTCTTCTTCTTCTTCTCCTTCTCTCTGTACCCTAGCTATTCTTCACGTTCTCTCAAATTCCATGATCGTATAGAATGATCTCTATTCCCCTTATTTTCTCTTTTTACTCCTTGGACCCCTTTCTATAGTTTTCCTCTTATACCCTCACTTATATCACACATATACCACCATGCCCTTATTCTCCTTTTCACCTTAATATACTATTTAATTATTATTTAAATCTAAATAATATAACATAAATTATTTAAATCTATATTAAATATAATTATCACCTTAGTCCACCACTATCCACAACATACCACACACATCACACAAATAATTAC